GTCAGCCTAGCTCACAGCAACCTCAAACTCCTGGGCTCAAGCAATCCTCCTGCCTCAGCCTCCCCAGTAGCTGGGACTACAGGCATGCGCCACCATGCCCGGCTAATTTTTTCTATATATATTAGTTGGCCAATTAATTTCTATTTATAGTAGAGACGAGGTCTCGCTCTTGCTCAGGCTGGTTTCAAACTCCTGACCTCGAGCAATCCACCCGTCTCGGCCTCCCAGAGAGCTAGGATTACAGGCGTGAGCCACCGCGCCCGGCTTGAATCTGGTCTTTATCCTTTTCCTTCTAGTGGACCCTGGAAGTCCAAGAGAGTTGCACAATATAAGTCTGATGCCCAGGGCTGATCAACTTATTGTGAACTAGGCACATCCAGGGCTGCCCTAGGCAACTCAGGTGGGCTTTCTCTCTGTCACCAGCCTCGCTGGGCACCAGGGCTGGCACCCTCTATGCCTGAATCCCAGCACCTCCTGGGGGCTCACATATCAGTTTGTCTGTGGGCCATGGCAGGTCCGAATGGCAGTCAGTCTGCAGACAAGCACATATCGACATGGCCTTTGTGCCCAGTCTTGAGCTCAATACCCTGGAGATTACAAAAAGGTCAAATAGCCACCATTTAATGTCACTATGTGTCAGGAACTTTATATGAGTTATCTCATTTATTTCTCTAACAACCCAAGGAGGTAGATACTATTAGATCATTATTACTATCTTACAGAAAAGAAATGTATATGTATGTAACTTACCTGAAGTCATGTAACTATTAAGTGGTAGAGCCAGAATTTGAAAACACTTTAGTTGAACTCCAAAGCCTTTGCTGTTGGGCATTGCACTAACTAGGGCTCAGAGGTGAGATGGGCTTTGAGAAGAGCAAAATGAAGGTATCAGGATGGTGCAAATTGAGGCAATCAGACAGGTTAACATTTATGGAGCATTTATTTTGTGCTAAACACAATGCTAAGTACTTTCCCTATACTAGTTCATTAACTAGTTTGTAACAGCCCCATAGGGCTAATGCTATCATCTCCACTTTATTGATACAGAAACTTCAGCTCAAGGAGGTTAAATGACTTGTTTAAGGTGACCCAGGTAGTGAGTGATAGAGCTAAGACTTGAACTCAGGTCAGCCTGAGCTCCTAAGTGCTAGGCCTCCTGCCCTAGAGAAGTTTCCACTTGCTGTCCCCAGGCCCTAGAGAGGCAGGGGAATAGAAGAAGAGCCTCGTTGTCTTCTTGGACCAGCTTTTCCCCACCCTTCCAAGGGGAACTAGAGACTACAGCTCCCCGGGCCTCTGACATCCCAGGCTGGAGTGGAGGGATAGGGTCTCCAGCTGTTAACCTCTTGGACCCCAGACCATGGTTGCTGGGTTCAGGATGCCACTTAGCATCTTCTAGAAGTCCATGGAGCTGAACAAGAGATTCCAGCAGCCCTGCCTGGAGGAGTGGCTGTGGGCCCCGTAGCCCCACTCGACCCTGCTTTTGTCACCCCTCAGGCCCAGCCTGTTCTACATTTCCTTGATGCCCCTCCTCACCTGCCTGTCCCAGACTCGTGTGGTCACTGGAGCCCTTGCCTGCCTGTTTTCAGCCTGTAATCACCCTGTAGGCCAAACTGGAGCCTAAGAGCTCCAGACATACTCCCACCCTCCAGCTTCCTCCCCAGGATAGGGGAGGATTTCAAAGCATCATGTTCTCAGGCATTCCTCTTTTTCTGATCTTTTCCTTTCCCAAGCTTAGAGCTAATAGGTAGCTATTGCCCAGTAGTTTTACAAGGTTTAAGAATCTCTTTTGATAGGGGCCCCCTGGTATGTATGAATTTTAAGCACTTTGGGCATTATGCACCCCTCATCTTTCCAAAAACCTGTGCTAAAAGGCAGCAGGATAATGACTTTGCTGCTGTAACCCCATATTGGAGGCCAGAGGCTAGGGCCCTATTTATTTGTTAATTTAGTTTTATTCTTTCAAAAAAGAAATATTATTCCCCTTTTCATACATATGAAAGTAATGGATACTTTTAAAATTCAAATAAAACAAGAATGTAGAAAGTGAACACCTCTTTCAATAAGCACTGGATTGTTGCAAATAAAAAAAGAAAAAAAAGTAATATAAAATTAATTAAAAAAGAAAAAAAGAAAAAGAAAGTGAACACCTTTCTCCCTCGCTACCCAGTCCTGTGCCAGGTCCCTCCCAAGATCACCACTGGTAGCCACTTGGTACAAATCTTTCCAGTCTTTATTCTGTGTGTGTTTTATTTTTCTTAAATAAAAACAGAATCATGGCCAGGCACAGTGGCTCATGCCTGTAATCCTAGCAATCTGGGAGGCCAAGGTGGAGGATCGCTCAAGCTCAGGAGTTTGAAACCAGCCTGCACAAGAGTGAGATCCCATCTCTACTAAAAATAGAAAGAAATTAATTGGACAACTAACAAAATATATAGAAAAAATTAGCCGGGCATGGTGGCACATGCCTGTAGTCCCAGCTACTTGGGAGGCTGAAGCAGAAGGATTGCTTGAGCCCAGGAGTTTGAGGTTGCTGTGTTGCTGTGAACTAGGCTGACGCCACGGTAGTCTAGCCTGGGCAACAGAGTGAGACTCTGTCTCAAAAAAAAGAAAAAAAAACAGAATCACCCTATAAGTAATGTTTTAGTACTTGCTTTTCCCCTTGCAATAGCAGGAACTTCTTTTATAAACAAAATGTAAATTATTTGTCTAATTTTAAAATTAAAGAATAAAAAAATCACAAAGATTTTCCTCATGTCATTAAATATTTTTCTACATCATGTTTAATGGCTACATGACTTTGTACGAATGAACCATAACGTATCTAACTAATTTCCCATTTGTGGTGTTTCCAATTTTTTATTGTTGACAACACAGCTGTTGTGAATATCTTTGTCCATGTATCTTTGTGCACTTGTGTGTCTCTTTCTGTAGATCAAATTCCAGAAGGGAAATGGCCTGGTCAGAGGGTCACATTGTCCTCTGAAGTGCCCAGGGCCTTTGAAAGCTTGTCAGACAAGGCCTTTTGAGAAGCAGTGTGGTATAGGAATTAAGAATGTGGGCTCTGAAGGCAGGCAGACTTCTGGCTTTGCCACTTTCTAGTCAACTTCTTTAACCCCTCTGAGCCTCAGTTTCTCCCTCTGTTAATTGGGATGATGAGGGTACCTACCTCAGGGAGAGACTGTGAAGATTATATGAGGTAATACTAATATATGCAGAGCTCTCAATGCTTGGCACAAACATAGGTGCTCACTAAATGACTGCAATTATTCAGTGCCCTTGGGGCTTGGAGCCTGTTAGGGTTCTTGTTTCTTTGGTGAGGATAATGTTTGCAGTTTCCTGAGGCCCGTAGTCACTAAGGACAGTGAGATGAGTGCAGCTGAGAACAAGGCTTGGAAGCCAAGTGACCTTGTTCTCACTCTGGTGGCAGCTCTTGCTCCAGTTTGCCCTCCCTAACGCAGTTCATGGTGGCAGAAACAGAAAGGAAACCAGGGGTCTTCATCTCCATCCCATTTCCCAAGAGATGGTGCAGCTTTAGTGGACACAGGGTGGGGCCCAGAAAGAGGTGCCTTTCCTTAGAGGAAAGGCAATGCTGACCCCAAATCTCCCCCTCTTGGACCCTGATCAGCTCCCCAATGAGGGCCCTTCCTCACAAGAGTGAGGCCCTTCAAGGCTCCTGTAAAAATGAGCAGTTATAGGAAGGGGGAAATAGCTCTCCCTGCCAGCCCTCAGCAGGGCCTGTGGCCACGGGATCCTGAGCCCTGTTCTGAGCCAGGACCAGCCTGGGCTTCGGACTGGAACTTTAGGTCAGCAGAGTCAAGGGCACTGAGCATATCAGGGAAGGGAAAGATGGCCCTGAAAGGACAACGGAGGGACATTTTGCTGAGAACAATTTTGAAGGAGATCTGTCTCCTCGCAACCCTCTCCATAGGAAAGATAAATGGAGGCAGTAATTCAGTTCTACCCATGTTTATTGTTACCAGCTTGTCTCCCTCCACCCCCTTATATTTACACCCAAGCCCTTCCCCAAAGCTAACTTTTACCAAAGTTCCTGGTAGGAGGTCAAGACGTGTGTCCATCTGAAGGAGAAAATGGCCATAAAAAAAAAAAGTGTGTCCACTAAGCAGGCAGTCTTACATGTAGTGGGCATTGTTTGTCCTCAGGCCAGTTGGGCACCAGGGAAGGGCTACTCTGGAAATTCAGGGCACAGACTTGGTACGGGGGTCAAGGGAGACCCCCACCAACAGATACTCTCATTCTGGAGCTTTGTGTACACCAAAACTTTAGCAAAGCAAATTCGGGGTAGCAGACTCCCCAATGTCAAGTGTAGTGCTTTCTTTTGCTTGTAAAGACCTACACAAGTGGCCAAGGCTGGACCCAGACCTGCATCTGGCTTCCAAGGGGCACTTTTGTCCCTGGAAGCCAGGTCTGACCATCTGCCATCAGCCTTGCTGGAAGTCTCGCTTGAGGGGGCCAGGAATAGAAAAAGAAGGTGCAGATTGTGACGAGGTGTGGCATTGTTTTAAGCTGGGGAGAAGTTGCAGCTTGTCCTGAGTTACATAGGGAGGGATAAAACAGATGAGCAGGAGGAGCCATTTCATTTGAAAGCTCTGGCCCCTGTGATAAACCCCTGTGATGTTCCAGGCCCCAGGTAACAGGAGAGCAGACATTTAATGTTACAGAATGTCAGAGCTGGCACGGCCTTCAGTGACTACCCATTCTAACCCCAACCAGTGCTAAACCCAGAAAGGGAAAGCACTTGGTTCAAGTCTCATAGGATTTAGTGGCCAAACCTCTAAAAAAGTTAAAGAGAAAGAAAGCCAGACTGGTACACGTGGCTTTCTTCAAACCTTATTTAGGGAAATCTGGATTTACCCAGGATCAGCTGGGGTCCTTTTAAAGAGCCAGCTTCCCTAGGGTTTTGAGAGTGACCTGAAATACTGACGTGGCTCCCTTTTCAGGAGCAATGCAAGAGGGGTAGGTGGGGTGGGAGCAAGGAGGGTTTGGGGTCCTTGGTGGTGAAGGATAAGGGCAAGGTCCCTCAGTGCCCCACCTGCTGTGGTGGTGGACAAGGAGTGGGTGGTACCAGGAGGGGCTGTGCCATCAGTCGCTGGTGGAGGGAGGCGTTCGGGCAGGTGGGATGTGCCCTTGGGCAGCTCCTCATCCACTTCAGCTGAGCCTGTTGGGCCTTGTTCAGGCCTTTGTGGCCCTAAGCACCCCTGGGGAAGCAGGGCCAGGCTCGGCACCAGTCTCCTGGGCCCAGGCTGCTGCAGGAGGCTGGGCCTGTCCCTGTGGCCTTTGCAGATTTGGCCCAGCCTCGGCCTGGGCCACCTCTACCTCAAGGTGCCCCGGCCAGGGAAAGGCCATGAAGCTGCTCCTCAGTGCTCGCCAGCTCTGCCTCATCGCGCCCGCTCTCCGAGCCCTCGAAGCAGCCAGAGTCGCGTGGGATGTCCACTTTGGGTTCCGACACTGTGTGTGCCACTGGCTCCTGGCTGCTCTCGGCGCCCTCTTCTGCCTCCTCGCTGCCAGCTGCCAGGGGTGAGGGAGGGAGTTCAGAATATGGGGGGGGCTTGGTCCTTAGCTGAGGGGGTCAGAAACCCCGAGAGGGTAGGGACCTTGGGAAGTTCACTATAGGCAGTCTCTCCCTTTGGGCACTTGCCACCATCCTGCCCCTCTCACTACTTCCAGCTTAGAAGCAGCTGGGAGTTGTTTCCAGGCCAGTTCCACAGCCCAGGAGCTCAAACGCCTTCAGCACTAAGCTGGAGCCAGGCTACCTGGGTTTGAATCCTGGCTCTGTTATTACCTCGCTTCGAGGCCTCAAGTAAATAAATGCCTTACCTTCTCTGGCCTCAGGTCTGCCCTTTGATCCAAAAGGCCCCATCGTTCCTACAACCCCCTTTCTCCCACAAACTTTCCCTGAGATTCCAATGCAAGTGGAAAGTGCCTACCCACTGCAGAGGGGCCCCACGGCAGAGTATGGTCAGGGGGTGGGGCCAGGGCAAGCCTGCCCTCCCTGGAATGCCAGCAGGCACATGCCCCCACCACCCTGCTTCTAAAGCCACTCACTGTCATAGTCCAGCAGCAGCTCGGCTGCCGTGAGCAGCTTGGCCCGATGCTGGGGGTCCGTGATGTTCAGCTCATTGAGGTGTGTTTCTCGCAGCTCTTTGAAGTCCTCCAGCGTCTGGTAGCCATTGAGCAGTAGGGTGGACGTGTGCTCCTGTGGGCAGAGGCAGGCTACTGGCACAGCTGTTTACAAGCCACTCCTGCCTGGGCTCTATCCCGCTATACATAGCTGTTGACCCCTGTCCCCATCCCTGGGGCAAGTGTGCCTCCCATGAGACTAGACACTAGTGCAGGTCCCAGCTCAAACCTCCAGGCCGATGCGTTCCAGCAGCTCATGCAGAGTCTTGGGCTTGGGCCTCTTGCCCTTGCTCTGTCGGCGGCTGGGGCGGGCAGGGCCCACAGCCTCATCGGGCAGTACATCCACGTAGATGAATTTGAAAGAGCCCAGTTTGCCATTGAGCAGGCCCAGCCATGTGCCCACGGGTGGCTTTTTAGTGATGAGGATCACATCTCCTTTCTGTGAGGGGAGAGGAGAGGAGACCAGGGAAGAGATGAGGGGGGTGGCCTCTTGGCCTCCTCTGACACTTTCTCTACCCTGGGTTAGTCCAGCCTCCTTTAGGGGTGTGGCCTGCCAGGCTCCGGAGGGGCCCAGACGCTGACCTTACCTGCAATTTCAGTGAGTCGTGGTCATAGGGGCTGGGAGTGAAATCGGTGTGGACTCGTGCCCGGCCGCAAAAGGGCCCTGTGTACGGGGGAGCAGGTGGTTCCTCCCCGAAGCTGCCAGAGCCTGAGCTAGGGCTGCAGAGCTCACTGCCTGCAGGAGATAGGTAGGGAGGAGGCTTACCTTTGTCCCAGGACAGCTGAGACAGTGCCCAGCAGCTGCCTTCCAGGGAGTCTGCCTAGAAATGCCAAGGGTACACGCCAGAGAAGAAAGCTAGGCTCGGGCAGGCCGTACGCTTCCGACCCGTCGCCTCAGCCACACTGCAGGAGCATGGCTTCACCTCCAGGGCCCCAGACATGAAAAGAGTTGGTAGCAGCAGGAGAAACTGCTTACAAACCAAAGAATGGGCAAATTCGGAGGGCCTCTAGAGACCACCTGGGCCAATACCCCAATGAGCAGATGAGGAAACCTGAGCCCATGCAAGCCAAGTGACCTCCCAAAGCCTCTGACTTTATAATTGGCAGCGCTGGGGCCATTAGAGTCCAGGTTCCCCGACTCCTACTCCAGTGCCCCTTCCACCCAGGAAGCCACACCCTATGTTAATATTTACTTTCTTTGCTTAATAAAACTCAATGTTTAGTTACAATATCACATGGTAACTCAGACAGGCTCTTTCTCCCTGGGAAGGGACAAATGATGGGCATTTTAAATGGCTTTCTGTGGTGGGGGTGGGGGCAGTGAGGTGTCTGTGGAGCCAGAGAAAGAGGGAAACTCAGAATGACCTAAGGGATGATAAATGCAGTGCTCAATGGGGCAGCAGCCCACAGCCCACGGCCCCTCCTCTAGGCAGGGAACATCTTGTCCAGCCCCATGGACTTCTAGAAGATGCCAAGTGGCACCTTGAGTCCAGAAAACCAAGACCTGGGGCCTACAAGGCTAACTCTTCACAACAGGAGACCTCATAACCCCCACCCCAGCCTGGACCCTGGCATGTCAGGGGCACAAGAAGCTGTAGCCTCTAGCTCCCCTTGGAAGGATAAAGATGGGCTGGTCCAAGAGGGCAATGAGGCTCTTCCTCTGCTTCTGGGCCTCTCCAGGGCCTGGGGACAGCAAGTGGAAGCTCCTCTAGGGTAGATGTGAGTTCAAGACTGGGTCACTTAACCTGCTGAGACTCAGTTTCCACATCAATCAAGTGGGGATGATAGGACTGGCCCCACGAGGTTGTTGTGAAGATTTAATGTTATGAATATTTAATGTGAAGAGGGCCGGGAAAGTTCCCAGCAGGCAAACAGTAAACATTTTTCCTCTTATCCCCCTCCCAGACAGCCCACTGGCATGGCCCTGACCCAATCTTTTCCTCCTGATTCAGCAGACGTCCCCCCACATCCCCTACTCACCCGTCGATGCCTGGCGGCTAAGCACAGGAAGTTCACTCTCCTCCTGCTCTGAAAAGGCCAGCGCCATCTTCTCAGGGCCGGGGCTGTCCAGGCTGCAGTCTGGAGATGTCGGGGAGGCTGAGCCCTCCTCCAGAGTATCTCCCTGCAGGGAGGGTAGGCAGGAAGCCCTGAGCAGCCTTGCTGGGTTGCACATGGAGCCAAGGAAACGGACTTGGGCTTGGCAAAGGGCTATAGCCTGGCTCAAACCCCAGCTCTGCCACTTACAGGCCGAATGACATTCTCTGAGCCCTAGTTTCCTCTTTTGTAAAAATGGGAATGACCATCCATGCCCTGCCTACCTCAAAGAATGGGGCTCAACTGGGGTGTCATGTGAATGTGCTTTTGTCAGCTTTAAATGCTGATATATATGCAGAAAAGGCCGTGGTGGTAGAGCCCAGCCTCAGAGCCATTGCTATGGTGCAGGCAAGAAGGCAGTCTCTCCCTCTAGTCTTTCTCTATACTGGGGAATAAATTACTTTTTCCTGTGCTTCTGTGTGCCAGGCCTGCCTGCCATCTCATTGAATCCTCACAGTGACACTTGTGGGTAAGTGGTATGGTTGGCCTGACTTTACAGATGCAGACTAACATTCCCAAGGCCCACAGGAACCCACAACCAACTTGGCCATACTCCAGAGCTCTTCCCATCCCACCCCACCTCCATATAGTGGTAACTGTTTAACAACTGTCCCTGATGAGTTGCCAATTCCTGTGTTCTAAATACAGCCTACCATGGCCAATGTCAAACTATTATTGTGACATGCCTGGATGCTTTGTCAGAAGAGATAGCTATGCTATTTCCACCACATAAAGTAAATAACCTTAACATAGATAAGAGTGAAAGGTAGTGCAAGAATTAGGAGTGATGGGTTTTGAAGATATCACCTTTTTTTGTTTCTTTCGAGACAGGATCTCACTGTGTTGCTCAGGCTGGCCTTGAACCCCTGGGCTCAAGCAATCCTCCTACCTTAGCCTCCCAAGGGGACCACAGGCCACTGCGCTTGGCTTACCTTTGTTTTTAATAGAATTTATTTAATTGTCAGTTTAAATAATTTGATTTTTGTTGTTGTTCATGTCTTTTTTTTTTTTATTTTGGCATATTATGGGGGTACAGATTTAAGGTTTCAATAAATGCCCTTTCTCCCCAATAATTTGATTTTTAATAATGGCATGTTTAGCAATTGGCTCACAGCATTCCTGACATTTTGACCAGCTGCTCTCATGAGTTTTTATGCCCCAGTATGAGCCAATATGCGCCAACTCCAGCACACCATTGCCTCTCTGCCTCCTATAAGAGCCACGAGCACACCAGAGTATGTGATTTAAGGCACTAGGGCTGTGCCTGCCCCACAGCTGTCTGTGCCACCTTTCCTCCCTGGGCCAAAGCCACCCTTCTCTATTTTCTCTCATAGGGATCCCATGAGGGAAAACAGGCCTTCTCATTCCCAGGGGCTAGCTCCAAGCAAAGCTTTGAGGTGGGTGGATTCGCCTTAGGCCATCTCATCTCCCTTTCAGCTGCCCCTCCCAACAGGTCTGCCTTAGGAAGCTTCTGTTGCCCAGACTTTCATCTCTCTGAAACCCAACCCCTTTCCCAGCCAGCCTCAGGTCCCTTCAGGACTGTGCCTGACTGGCCGTCAGTGAGCTCCCCTTCTTGTGTGACCTTCCTTCTTGCATGGAATAGGGCCTTCAGGCCTGAGCAGTGGCCGTCAAAGCAGTCATGCTCACACCTTGCCAGAGAGGCACCCCCGGCTCCCTGGACCCCCACGCCTCACCATCTCCTCTGACAAGGCCTTCACCATCATCTTGCCCATCTTCCTGTTCATGGTCCGGGAAATCACTGCCCTCCACTTCTTCCCTAGCTTTTTGCCACTCTTCCCAGCATCCTCTGGAGTGGGGACACCTGAGTCGTCTTCTGGAATCTGACAACAAAAGAGGAGGTTCAGAGGCCCTGGTGACCCTGGACAAGTCCTGGTGGTCCAGGACTTGGGGCAACAAGGAGGCCTTTGGGTCATACCACAGGCTGGAGGGGGTGGGACTGGGAGGCCACTGTCCCCTTCCCCTTTGGCCCCAACCCTGTCCTCAGCCCTACTGCTTTATAAATAATTTGCTATTTATTTTGTAGTTGAAAAGAATGCAGGTGAATGCTTAGTGATGGGAGAGGTGGCCCTCTGTGGTAAAGGAGGCTTTGCCCCAACAATCCTAACATCTCCTCTTCCCCCTCCTCTCTCCCACCCTCACTCCCCTGCCCAGGGCCTGCAGTCAGGTTCCCTCAGGAGGCTCTGAAACTCACGTTATCATCCAGGTTAAATTCCTTCTCGCTCACCACGGGAGAGCTGGGTTTGGATTTGGCAAAATCCTTAAAGCTGCTGGAGCGCTGAAGGGAGAGCTGGAAGAAGCATGGGATGTTGCCATCAGTGCGCTAAAATGGCTGCCCAAGTACAGATCTGTTCTCCCCTCTCAACACACACACACCACACCATGCCCCAGGCAGGGCAGAGCCACATGTGCCCTGAGGGCCCTGGGCTAATGGGGTGAAGTACCTAGATGTCCTTGGAGCTACTGGCTTTATCTTGTTCTTCAAACTAACTCTGGCCACAGACCAAGCTCCTAACCTCAAGAGCTTCACACCTCCGTCAAGACTCAGACTTAGCCTGAATTTCCACCAGTATCCCATTTGGTCCCCAGAACCCTGGAGTGAAAGACTAAATGAGTCCAAGTAAACGTATATCTGCTACTAGAGACATACCTCAGCACATAGAAGAGCACCACTGGTTACATAACAGAGAAAATCCCTCCTAAACCCTGTGGCTCTGCCTTTATACCCTGGGCCCGCTCTGAGCAAGGTCTGTAGTCACTCTAATAGGGGTAAACATATTGGGACCTCCATCCTGATGAATCTATGTCCCAAGAAGTGCAAGACAATCTGGCCAGAAGCCAGCAAGACTCGCCATTATACTTTTTGGAAAACCACAGTAGAGGCTTACTCACAGAAGGGGGCCCTGATTTGGGATAAATGATTGGAGCTAATTTGGTACAGGAAACCCCATTTTCTCTTTGTTCATCTTAGCTTTTAGAGAAAGGTACACTTACACTTTGTTGGTGGGACTGCAAACTAGTATAATCTCTATGGAAAGTAGTATGGACACACCTCAAAGAACTCAAAGTAGACCTACCATTTGATCCAGCAATCCCAATACTAGGTATTTACCCAAAGGGGAAAAAAAAGACATTTTATAAAAAATACACTTGTATTCGAATGTTTATAGCAGCACAGTTAGCATTTAACCTTAGTCTCTAATGTGATGAGTTGGCAACTGTGACATCTGCCGGTGTTTGGACTTTTAGGCATGACGTTTTGTTTGTGTTGATGAGATTGTTTTCAGGAAATGAGGTTTCTTAACTGCATACACATGTACATGTCAAAATAGCAGGCAGAAAACAGCACAAGGCAGGTAAGGAGGGGTAGGCCTTAGACAGAAGAAGTTGAGGCCAAGCTTGTGTCAAGATAAACAGTCAAGACCAGAAGATATACACAGGAACCAGGGTTCACAGATGGCCAGACAGATAGAGTGGCATAAACTACAGACACAGTGATAAGGACTTGAGGAACCGAAGCCCCAAACTAACACAAAGCTGAAGCTTTCACATCCTCTTTCCTACGAAAGGGGGGCAAGTGTGTCCAGTGACAAACCCCCAGGACAGTCGCAATATCACCTGCCCCCCAACACACACACAATCGGCCCCAAGTTACGGGGACTGCAGTGTAGCAGTTTAGAACTCTTGGTGGGTCTTGACCAAAGCCAAGTCAGCAATTGGGGGTCTGGGGTTACATGCCCTTAGAGGTCACAGCAAGGTAGTTGCCCAGAAACTAGGTCAGTGGTCAGGTCAAGCAGACACTAGCACCATCGGGGCCTCATGGGTGTGGTGCCTGCAGCCTTCGTCAGAAAGCCTCCTCTGTGCTGCCCTGGGGAGCTGGAAAAGGGGACCCTGAGTGGGCATAGTGAGGGGAAAGCATGACTGTGGGGTGACCATTCCAGTTCCCATGTTTCTCCTCTATCTTCCGTCCTTGGTTTTCCCTTCCCACTATTTTTCTCTTTTTCTCTTTCCTCTTTTTCTCCCTTTCTTTCCCCTTCTCTCCTCCACCTTCCATTTATTTCCTCCTCTTGTATGGCTAGGATGCAGCTGCCTGGATAACTTCCTCCTCTTAATGCATGGAAAAGAGGGAACAGAGAGAGGGTGGGCACCAGGCTGCTATTTATAGGCTGATGGGGCCTATTATGGTATTCTCTCCAGCACCCCTAGCCTGGTCTGCAGCCCAGGAGGCTGAGAGTCGCCCCTGACACCCTAGGGACTGGTGAGGCTGGAAAGCAAGAAGGAGGGCAGGCGTGGGGCAGGAAGTAGGCTTTGTTGGGGAAGGGTAAACTCACCTCCGGCTGCCCTCTAATCACAGCTCTTTCCCAAAGCCTTTTCCTGTCATTAATCTGCAGCCTGGGGGCTGGGAGGAGGGGCCTTTGGCTCCCAGGCACTTGTGTGAAGGCCCCTCTGTCCCAGCTTTAGCCCAAAGTGGGAGAAGGCGATCCTAAAGGACAGCAGAGATGGCGCCAGGGCTTGGGCCCAGTTGGCTGCACTCAGCCCAGGGAGATGGAAGGGAGTAGCATATATGTTCTTTGAGGACCAGGGTGAGGGCTGGCCAGAGTGGCCTATTGCCAAGCCTACCTCCAACCTCAGGGGAAGCCCCAAATATCCTGACTGCCTTTCAGTGAAAGGTGACCCCCTACCCACCGATGACTTGAAATCCTTCAGCCTAGTTGAGTTTTCTTCCTGGCCTCCCTTTGGGATGAGGACTTCCTGAAAGTCATGCCTGGCAAGGGAGGTGACACCATACACAGTTGGCCCCTTTTTCAAGTCTAAGGAGAGCACATGGGCCTCTTGGAAAGAGCTGCATTTCTCTTTGTCTCAACTTAGACATTGCTAAATTCAGCTCTGGGCTGTGTGACCACAGGCGAGTTATTTCGCCTCTCTGGATGTCAGTTTCTTCGCTTGGTGTCTGATGGCAAGGGTTCTCGTCTTGGTTCTGCGGCTGACCAGCTGTGTAAAGCTGAGTCAGTTACTAACTTCTCTCGGCTTCTGTTTCCTCATCAGTAAAATGAAGACAAAAGCACCTACCTCACTGGGCTATTGTGAGCATGAAATGAGTGAGGACATTGTCTGGCATAGCAGTCCCTCAGCGAACGTCAGTTCATGCTTAGCCTTTCAGACCACCCACCTCTCTAGTCTTTTACCCTGGGCATTTCCCCATCTGGAATACTCTGCCCTTCTGTCAACTGTAGTTTCTCCTCTCCCTCAAATTCCAATTTAAGTGGAAACAACCCAAATGGTCATTAACTGTAGAATGGATAAATTAATTGTGGCAGAATCACACACAAGACTAGTACCCAGCAGTGAGGTAGTACTGCTGGCCCCAACAATATGGATGTGTCTTGCAAATATACTGCTGAGTATATACAATATGCTGCCACTTGCATAATGTTCAAGGCCCAGCAGAACCTGTCTGTGCTGCTGGAAGTCAGGGTAGTGCTTACCCTGTGGGAATGGGGGCATGTAGTGACTGGCAAGGAAGCTTCTGGACTTCTGGAAGTGTTTTGCTTCTTGGTCTGGGTGCTGCCCACATGGGGATGATCACATTATAGAAACTTATTGAGTGATTCACTTATGACTTGTGCACTTCTCTATGGATCTTCTACTTTGATAAAAAAGTTTTTCAATTCCAGTGAATCTCCCTGATCACCCCCTCAGAGCCTCACACTGTCTGCCCCAGGTGGCATCCTCTACCCTGCTTCCTAAGCAAACTTTGCTTGCCCCAGGCGTCTCCCGAACCACCCTCCCCACTCCTTCATCGTACCAGGTATATACGGAGCACCCTTTGAGCCCCAGGCCCAGGTCTCTGTGTGTGTGGGAACCCCGCAAGGAGGGGCTCAACACCTCCCATGTGCCTGGCTCCCTGCGAGCGCTTCCTGTGTGTCAGCTTCCTCCAACCTCACCATAGCCCTGTGTCACATCCACACACAGAGGACATTTGAGACGCTGCAAAATGCAGTACCTTAGGCAGAGTTACACAGCTGGTGGTGGAAAAAGCAGGTGTCCAAACCCAGGTCTGTAACGCTGGAAGCCCATGCATGTTGCTATGTTTGTGGCGCTCAGAACTCATGCTGTTATCCCCCCGACCTATACAGAAGTGGCTTGAGTGAAGTGCTGACCATGGATGGTGTTTGAACATAGGTCCCAGGAGGGTGGGTGGAAGTATGAAGGGGGAAGGGTTCAGGAGGGCTTTGTAGAGGAGGCATATTTGAGCTGGGTCATGCAGGGGAGCCAAGATTTCTCCAGGTGGAGTGGGGAAGGATTTGAACAAGAGGGAAATTTAGGGACATTGTGGGCATAGTGATGGGATGGCAGGTAGGTCAATGGTTGTGGCGGCAGGTGGAACAAAAAGGCCATGGAAGGATCTTGGTAGCCATGCCAAAGAATTTGGGCAGTGTCCTGTGGGCAGTGAGGATACCAAATGATAGCCGGGCATGGTGGCGCATGCCTGTAGTCCCAGCTACTTGGGAGGCTGAGGCAGGAGGAGTGCTTGAGCCCAGGAGTTTGAGGTTGCTGTGAGCTAGGCTGACACCACGGCACTCACTCTAGCCTGGGCAACAAAGCGACTCTGTCTCAAAAAAAAAAAAAAAAAAAAAAAAAAAAAAAAAAAGAAAAGAAAAAAGAAAATACCAAATGCATGCTGGTGAGGGGGTCATGCTTGAAGTGTGCTGTAGGGAGGGAGCCACGGGGAGAGAAATGTGCCAGGATGCAGCAGACAGGGGCAGGACGAGACTGAAAAGAGGGAAGAGTTGGGCACTTGGACAGGAGCCTAGATTCTTCTCCATTGTCCCTGGTAAGAGTTCTGGGGGGTGGTGGAAAGTGGGCACGTGGTGGGGTTGGACCACCCTTAGGGAAGTCAAGTCCAGGACAAACCCCTTTCCAGCTTTCTACACCCCAACATTGGATTTTGGGTGAAATCAGATCAAAGGGAGTACACAGCGAGAACTTAAAGGAGGTGAAAGTCTCCAGTGGGCAGCTATAGGGTGTGTCCCTCAACCCCAGGGCCTCTCCAGTCCTTCATGGTGCACACTAGGTGCCATGTCCCAGCCCCACCATCCTGGTGGTTCTGCTCCCTCCTCTGCTCTGCTGCCTGGAGGATCATCACTCCACAGCTTTCTGGGTCTGCCCTCACAGAACTCTCCTACTGACATTTTTTCAAGGTGATCCGTTCGACCTCCTGAGGGGGCAGATCAGGAGTTATTCCCCTTTACAGAGATGAGGAGACTGAGGCCCAAAGAAAATCAATGAACTGTCCAAGGTCCTACAGCTGGGACATTGTAGGATTCCAACTCGGTTTTCTTGCCCCCGCCTGGCACATCCTAACCTGGCAGGCCCTGGATGTGGAGCAGGGACAAGAGAGAGAGGCCTCCCCTGCCTTTGTGCTTTCCCCTCCACCACGTCACCTCAGACTCCAAGGGGAAGGGACTAGCAGTAGTGGAGCCAGGCCACAGGCTCTGGGCCTGGGGAAGATGCTGTCTCTACCTTCTGGAAGCTTGACTTCTTTAAGGCATTTCCATGGTGTCTGGGGCCATGACAGTGTGTGGAGGCAAACTCGTCCCAGCTGTGGAGGCTGGCGCAGCTCTTGCAGGGGTGGGTGGGGTTTATCTGGACTCCCCTCCCCTAAGGGATGTAGACCTTAGAGTGCCACATGGACCTTGCTTCTTCTGGGAGAGGCCTGGGGGAAATCCCAGAGGCCCATCTGCTTGCCAAGCACAGAATCTGGGTAACTGAAGCGGGAAAGAAGAAGGGGATGCCTGGCTTCTGTGTGCTTCTGGGCACCTCCACCTGAGGTGGCACAGGGTCCCAGTGTCAAAGTGTCAGCTCTTTCTCAGACTCCTTCCTCCGGCTCAGCGTCCCTGTGGTTTGGGGCCTAGCAGCACCTATAGCGCAGTCTTTGCTTCCCACCCCCACCAGCCAGAGAACAAGGGGAAGTGGCCCCAGTCGTCTAGGAGTGGCAGCCAATGGCAGGCCTGCTGGGCCTAGTGCTGTGCAGGGTTTGGACAGGGGTGACAGGGCCCGTGTGAAGATTCATGAATCTCCCCCTCCCCCGCCCACCACCACTGCAACCTTAGAGACACAGCTGGGGTGCGGAGAGTATAGCCGGAAGTGGCAGCCACCCGAGGACCTGAGAGATGGGGCAGGATGCACACCCCAGCGCCCCGAAGCTCAGTCTTTCAAGCTGTCTGGGCCTCTGCCTAGGAGCTGCTCCCCTGACAAGGGGGCTCCACCATAGGGCACCTGGGCTGAGCTCCAGGGAAAACTGGCAGGGTACAACCTGAGCCTCTTGGACCTGGTTTAGGCCTGCTTTGGGATGGTTTTAGAATCCTGCTGGATGTGCAGGATGTAAGTTCTGATTTCCTGGGACAACCGAATCAAAGAATTAAGTCTAGAAATCCTCAAATTCGACCAGAGAAACCTAGATCTGGCAGAGGCTTCAAAGAATCTTCTGGTCTACCTTCTGCCCCAAGAAAATGAACACCACAGCCATCCGTGATAACTGCTTTTCCTCCTGGCCTTTCAAATCTGCTGAATTTTTCCTCCTCAGCCCTCACTCCTACACTCACTATCTCACCAGCTGCATTTCTCATTCCTCACAAACAACGTCTCCCTGCCCGGGAAGACCCTGTATGCCCCTTGCATCCCACTGCCATTTTGGAAGTACTTTTCCCCAAGTTTGAAGATCACCTCAGGCCCCATCTCCAGTGGGCCTGGGGAGCCGCAACGGACCTGAGCCAAGTAGGCAGGGCCAGGGCCACGGCCAAAGGGTGGGGGCCCTGGGAGCATCATGGCTCCAAGCTGGGCGGCCCGGTGGGGCCCTTTGAGTGAGATGGCTCCTGAGAGGCCACACTTGGGCAGAAGTGGTGGCAGGACCAACACAGAGGAGAGAGAATTAAGTAGAGTCTTAAGATTCAACTTGAGCATTGTATTTTGTCATTCTTATATTCTAGTCTAGGACTCTGGCCCCTAAGTTTAGATCTTTACCTGATCCATGTAAGGTTAAATTATTCTATAACTCTAGACTTCTGAGAGCCTATTCAGTAACTCTGTTGCTCCAGAATTTTAAAAATCTCTTCTGTACTTCTGTTACTTTAGTAACCTCTGGGTCCCTGTCACATTGCCCTCACCTACAGAGGGCAATGGCCCTCACCTACAGACTCAACATGTGGCCTTTGGCTCTTCCCACTTCTAAGAGTCCTGGAAAGCAGAGGAGGGAGGGAAGAAGTGAGTTCCCAAAGATGCTCCTCACCTTTTTCTTCTGAGTAGGCTCCTTCTCGCTGGCGTTGGAGGGCTTGCGGCGCAGCATGGTCCTCCGTCCTGGGGAGACCCCGTCCCTGCTCACCTAGGTGTCAAGATGCAGAGGCTGCTTGCTCAGCCTTGCCAGCACCGTCCAGGGGGTACGGCATGGACCGAACCTCCGGCTGCCACTCTGACTGCTATAGCGGCAGCTTGGGGGTGCGGGCCATGGACACCCAGCGGCAGCAGCTTACAGGAAGCCCTGCCACGTGACCTGCTCTTTCAGCAATCGCAGCCCCTGCCGGCCCCTGGGGAGGAAGGAAGTCCCAGCTTTAGCCTCCAGAGATTCTGATGTAGACGGCTCTTGGGTTGAACAGTCAGAGAAAAGTCCCTACCTTGGTATCTCACGTCAATCATCACCAGTTCTGCTCGTTTCCCCAGAGGTGGCCAATCAACTTGACATTATATGGCCTATCCAAGCCCTTTATCTCACTGAACAGAATCCAGAAACCAGAAGTTGGACCATTTCTCTGCCTGTTGGGTCAATGCTCCTGGTCAACTTGCATCTACAAAGTCATCACTGTCGTCACTACCATTACCCCATGGCCATCATCCTTACAGCCATCTGCCCTGCAGCCCTCCCCGCTGCCATCGGCATACCTAAAGCTATCATCACTACCGTATTCACCTCTACAGTCGACATCCCTCAGCTTTCACCTCTACAGTCATCACCGTTGCCACTATCACGCTTCTAGCCTTCATCTCGACAGCTGCCACCCTTCCAGACATTACAGCCAGCCAGCCCCATGACCCTCTTACCCCTACAACCATCATCCCTACAGTCATTGTCCCTACAACCATCGTGACATCCCTGCGGCCATCAGCGCTGCAGTTACCCACATTGCCATGAGCACACCTACAGCCATCATCACTAGAGCAGTCACTCCTCTAGTGAACACTCCTCAGCCACTGCGAGTATATTTATCCCCTCCACAGCTGAAAAGCACTTGCAGGCAGCTCCGCACCACCCTCAAATGTCCGTTCAACAGGCATTTATTTATTGAATGCCTATGCGGTATGTTCACTTTGTGGGTTATCTGTGGCAGATTTTAATAACTTTAATGGCTTATTCTTATTCTAAAAGCAATTCGTATTCATCACATACAATTTAGCAAAGATAAATAAAAATAAGAAATTTCAAAAATTCTCCAGTAATTGTTTTCCATACTGCCTAGATGAATATCCTTTTCTGTTTTAAGCATCTATCTACTCTCGTCTGTACACATTTTTTTTTTTCTTTTTACAAAAATCCTACTTCACAGAAAGCAGATCATTGGTTTGGGGAGATGGGGGGAGGTCACAAAGGGCACCAGAAAACTTTTGGGGGTGATGGATATGTACACTATCTTGACTGTGGTGATGCTTTCATGGGTATATACATATGTCAAAACATACCAGATTGGCTGGGCGCAGTGGCTCACGCCTGTGATCCTAGCACTCTGGGAGGCCGAGGCGGGCAGATTGCTCAAGGTCAGGAGTTCGAAACCAGCCTGAGCAAGAGCGAGACCCCCGTCTCTACTATAAATAGAAAGAAATTAATTGGCCAACTAATATATATATATATAGATAGATAGATAGAAAAAATTAGCCAGGTGTGGTGGTGCATGCCTGTAGTCCCAGCTACTTGGGAGGCTGAGGCAGCAGGATTGCTTGAGCCCAGGAGTTTGAGGTTGCTGTGAGCTAGGCTGATGCCATGGCACTCACTCTGGCCTGGGCAACAAAGTGAGACTCTGTCTCAAAAAAAAAAAAAAAATGTGCAGCTTATTGTAGTTCAAGTTTACCTCAATAAAGCTGTTTTTCATTTTTTTTTTAATTAAAAAAAGGCCATACTTCACAATCTGTTGGTCTCTGTTTTTCACACTGAACACAGTATCATTAAGATTTTCTCTGGCTAGGAAACATTCTTCAACTACCTGATTTGTAATGGCTGCTTACTTTTCTTTATTGTTATTTATTGAACATCCTTATGGCAAATATTCACATCCACAATTTTTCCTTAGGAGAAATATCCAGAAGGGGAATTGCTAGGGTAAAAGGTATGCACTTATTTAAGACTTTCAATTCTGTAGCACTTGTGAAATCCTGGGCTGGTCCACCCCTGTTCCCAAGATGTCCTTGTGACATCTTCTGACTGCGCTGCCTGCCCTTGGACCATCCACCTGCTGGGGTGAGCTCCGGGAAGACAAGGTCCTTCTCCCCCAAGCTGAAACTTTACTTTCTTTGGCTCCAGCCCACTCAGCCTGCCAAGCAGACTCATGAAAAGATTCCATGCCCCAGATTGCTTCCCCACTGGCCTGTGCTTTCCAGCCTGAAAGTCCCTCCCAGGCTACCTATGGGTAAGAGAGAGATCCTAGTAACTGGCGTAAGGCTTGAGCCTGACACCCATGTAAGGGACCCATGGGGCCTTTGGGGCTCCGCATGATCAGGGGCGGGAGGGCAGCCCCAGCAGGGACCGGGGTAGGGGACGCTGCTGCAGGCGCCAGGGACACCTGGGTTCGGGTGACCAGGAGCAGCGTACACGCGAGATCATCTTGCAGAACCTTCTGGGCCTGCGCAGCGGCGGCCTGTCCCTGGGCGCTCAGGATGTGCCGGCTTCCTGTTTGCTCAGCCCCTAGCTGCAGCTACGAGCTCACACACTAACCGCAGAGCCTTCAAAGGCAGCCAGCAAACCAGGGCGCTGGGACGCCGCTGAGGCCTGGGAAAAGGCAGTGAGGGGGAGGTGAGGGTGCCTGGAGAGAAATACGGAGAGGTGGCTAGCTCCCATGACAGAAAGGGGCGAGCGCTTTCAGGCCCGCCCTTCTTTCTCCTTTTCAGATCTGTCTCCTCTTGTCAGCAGTAGCCCCTCAACTCGTGCTCCGGGGGGGTCCAGAATTCCCCATCAGGACTTGCCTGCCTTCACCTTTTCTCTTCCAACAGATTACCCTGCACGAATCCCAATAGGTCAGGCCCCAGCTAGCTAATGGGCACTAAACACTTAATAGGTTTCCCCTTCCCGACAACACATTTGCATTTTATAGGTTACATTGTTCCAGGTACACAGAGCCCTCAGCTAAAGAATTTTTCCGGGTCAGTAGCTCAGTGAACAAGGACACCTTAAACTTGATAATGGGCTGGCAGGCAGCTAGGAGCTTGCTGTGGGCACAGCCTTGTGCTGGGCACTTTGCGGAGATACAAAATCGATAGCTGTTAAGGTCCCTTGCACCTGGGAGCTTGACATCCTAGGTGGGGTGGCAAGCTTACATTCACCTGGCACTTGTTCTTTGCCAAGCACTACATCAGGCACTTCACAAACGTTATTTAATCCTGCCACAAGCCCCTGACGCAGGTAGTTTAAACTGGGATAAATCCCTTAAAGATGTGCCTAGAAGTACAAATGAGGGGCAGGAGAACCTTGATTTAGTGTCAATATTGCAGGATATGTTCGTGCATGTGTCTGTCTATTTGAGGTTCCACTGATAGATCAATCTGAACCCTCAGAGGGTGGACACAGTACTGCCAAAGACACAAAGGTCATTGTAGGCTGTATTTGCATAGAACAGCACCCCCGTCAGCAGCATGCCCCATGAGATTCTCATTTGGCATACAGATGATCATGAGTGGGATATTTGGGGCAAGTGGGATCCAGACACTTACGAAAGCATCCCTCACTCTCTGAGTGGATACATTTTTGATTTGAGATAGTAAGCATTTGGATAGGGAGGGATAGCTATATTTGGAACAGCTGTCCAAAAGATTCTATTCCCATTTCCTCCTGGCCAACTCCCCCCACGTCCAGCTGAAGAGTGTTATACTGCAGGTGGCAGGCTTTACAGCAACCTGATAAGTCAGGCAGTGTTTTTATCCCCATTTTCCAGGGAGGAAGTCGAGGCCCAGAGGGGTTAAGCGAATTTCCCAAGACCATACAGCTAGTAAGTGGTGGAACCTAGTCTTAAACATAGGTCTGATCTTGGTCCAGGGCCCACACTGTTAATCATTCAGCTCTAATGTGCCTCCGATGCAGAGTTCCTTAACGGAGTGTGGACGGTAAAATCCAAACTCTGAAATATTTGAAAGAAGTTTATTCTGAGACAAATTTGAGGACCAAGACCCAGAGTCACTCCCAAGAAGTCTTGAGCAAGTGGACTCCATATGGTTGGGTTGCAGTTTGGTTTTATACATTTTAGGGAGACAGGGGTAAAGTCATAAATCAATACGTGGGAGGCATACATTGGTTTGGCCCAAAAAGGTGGGCCATCTCGAAGGGAGGGGACCTTACAGGTTATAGGTGGGTTTAAAGATTCTTTGGCTTAGTAATTTATTAAAGACATGAAGCTTTGTTTAAAGGCTTCGAATGTTTAACATAAGGAGCTGTTATCAGAGATAAGCCACAGAACATAGATTTGTTGTGTAAATTGAGGACCTGCAGATTTGTCTTGCATACCCTTAGGCCTGTTAATGGGTTGGAAAGGAAGTCCCCAAGAAGGGAGGGGGGCATGATGAGGCATGTCTGACCTTCCTCCTCCTGGCAGACAATTTAGTCTTAGGATATTCCTTTGGCCACGAGGGGGTCCATTTAGTCAGCTGGTGTGTGTGTGTGGGGGGGTGAGACTTAAAATTTTACTTTAGTTTACAATTCCCCCATTTTGTCCAAGATCTGTCAGAGGCAGCATCTATGGCCAAATTGTATTTTGTCCCATCCATTGCCAGGGTGGTATGGCTATCTGCCCTGGGTCCATCCAGTCCTTTGGTGGGACCCTTGTGGCCAAGAGGACTGAAGAGCTAAACTGGGGCTTACAGCCAATTAAATAAGCCAAACAGGACCGGAGGTAGACAGGCACTCATTAATACTCTAAAATCTTCTAAATGACCTAAGAGTAAAATGCAAAATGTCAAAGGCAAAGCTACAAAACTAATTTACCTGTAAGTATTGAGGTACTATATTCTTGGGTTTAGTGGTAGACTTGTAGCAAATATCCTGTTTAAAGGTATTAGTTAACCACTTCTGTATGGGTGCTCACTGGCTGCGAAACCTTGCCCACAGCCAGCACTCATAGTCTGCACGATAGTGTGTGCTGTGCATTGATGACAAATCCGTTTTGCTCTTGTGTGATGAGGAAAGCTTTAAAGCACTGAAAGCTTGCTTTACTTTACAGGCAGCTTTACTTGTAATGTAAATCAGAATAGGTAACATATACATATATGTTTTCATTATGTTATTTTTAAATGTTCACAATTTTATTTTGATAAATAAAAAATTAGAAAAGTCATATCACGGCTGTCGGCTAAAGTCGTTGTGCGTGTTCATCTGTGGCTATCTGCTCGTACCGAAGTGGTTAATTAGATCCTTCCAAAACATCACTTCCCAAAACAAAATCTATTGATATCCTAAGGCTCAAAGTGTCTCTGGCCCCCAAAGTTTGGGAGCAAAGGCCATTGTTCCCATAAAGGCTTGCTGAAAATTTACTGACATGAGTATTAGTAGGATTAATAGGAGCAAAAGTTAAAACTTATACATTGATGCCTTTGGAATGAACACTCAAAGATGCAGGGGAAACTGTCCATTTTTTTTCATGTTTAAAGTATGGACAACCATGTAGAAATATGATTGGACAAAAAAGCTAATTCTAATAGGCTGAGTAGGAGAATCCAACACGGCTTTTCTATTTAGATTCTTTTAGGTCTCTGAGTGTGCATTTCTTCCTTCTGGCTAGGGCTAGGCCCAGACCCTTTCTGAAGTAGGAGTTTACAGTAAAACAAAGTAAAAACAAAGTAGGTCAGATAATTACTTTATTGCCATTTTACATAGAATAATTTTAGGTTTTATGGCTAGCTTCAGTGAAGAATTGGTATAAGAGGCAGGCAAGGTCAGAAAATTTTTGCTTCTGAAGCCTTCATTTTAAGTTAGTTTTCTGAATCCCATCAACATAAGATCACCTGACTGTAGCACCTCAAATAATGATAAACAGTGGTAACATGCTTTTTACATGGAGATTAAGATTAAGCTGTTTTAAAAACAATCTAAATTAGTCTCAAAACAATTTTGGGGGGGTGTAAACTTCAGTACA